AATGTAACCAATTAACACCTATAATCTTTCCTTTCAGTTCATATGCAGCCAGGACCCTGCACCATCAGAAGTCTTCCAGTAAATGCTGTTGAAAATAGGTTTTATTTATCCTATTCATTAGCATGCTGATGAGGGGGGGAAAGGAGGAACAAGAGAAGGCAAAATATACGCATATTAAACCACTTTAAAAACTTGCGCTGCATCATGGATTCATGGTTCATACCCACTGAGCTATGACAACCTGGAGGGAAGTAATGGTAATACAGGAACAGAAATGTAAATTTCCCCACATGATTCCTAACATTAAAAAGTTAAGGGGAACCACAAAATATTTCTCCATCAATTATTTCAAAGAGGAGCTCCAAACTCTAAAAAATAAAAGTCAGCGGCTACATCTTAAATGTGGGCACCCAGAAGTGACAGCTTGCGGCTTCGCAGCCGGATTCCCCTTGCACATACCTGAGCAGCTCTGCGCATTGTGAATGGTCCTGTAGTCTTCTGGGACCTGTCATATGTCCCAGAAGGCTACGGGGAGGGAGAACAACATCTGCTTTCAATCGCAGCGGAAGTAGGGCGTGGGTACCTGTCAAAAATCGGGGTACCTGCTCCCCAAAGGTGCCAATCCTTAACGGGGAGCAGGAGAGACGAGGCCTTAAAGCAGAACGTCCCCTTTTCGGTTGAGCTCTGCTTTAAGTGATTTGTATTATTATTATTATTTAATTCTTAAACCTCCCTAGCGGTATGATTATTTCATATTTTTGGTGCTGAAAGCGGTACCATTATTTTGCATGGAAATATGTCGTTTTTTTTATTGTAGGCTGTAATTTTTAGGAATAACTCACTGAAATCTGTCTGAACAAGATTCTAAATCATACATTTAATTTCAATAATATAATCAAACCAAAAACACTGAAATTTGAAATAGAGCGCCAAGTTCGCACATCGCTGAGCAAAGTCGCAAAATTGTTTTCAGTGTCTGATGACGAATTTCTCCACGAATCATTATCACTCAATTCTGCAAGTGGTTCTGATTTACTATCGCTGTTATCTAGCTGATCTAAACCAGCTTTTGACCTAAAGGGACACTTTTTGGACACCATGGACTTTTCTAAGTTTCCAGGCAGAAAGAACTATCAAAATGCAGACAGGGGACAGGACAAAGCACTAGGGACAAAATGTATGTGAAATGGGTTGAAACAGCAATGTTTTACTATCTAAAATCGTTTTGAAAAAAATGACATTTTTTTAAATTTTTAAAATTTTCCTGCCGCCGCCCATACGTCCTGACTAGAGATGAGCGAAATCGAACCTGGCGAAGTGGAATTCGTTTTCGAATTTCAGGAAAAAATTTGATTCGCATCGAATTCGAATTTTAGCAAACTTCAGGTGCACGAATCGAATTTTTCCCGATCAGCCGGCAAAAATGTCACTGCAGAGAGCTCCGCTATTTCTGACAGTTCTGACAGTTCATTTACAGCGGTTGAAACATTGTATCTATTTGTTTCCATTTAGGATACAGATGTTTTTATTCGGAAATAAATAGATACAATGTTTCAACCGCTGTAAATGTGAAGGAACTGTCAGAGAACTGTCAGAAATAGCGGAGCTCTCTGCAGATACACTTTTTGCTGTACTGGAATACTTCTTCTTTTCATTCTTCTTCTTCTTTTCATTCTTCTTCTTCTTCTTTTCATTCTTCTTCTTTTCATTCTTCTTCTTCTTTTCATTCTTCTTTTCATTCTTCTTTGTCTTCTTTTCATTCTTCTTTGTCTTCTTTTCATTCTTCTTCTTCTTTTCATTCTTTTCTTCTTCTTTTCATTCTTCTTCTTCTTCTTTTCATTCTTCTTCTTCTTTTCATTCTTCTTCTTCTTTTCATTCTTCTTCTTCTTCTTTTCATTCTTCTTTTCATTCTTCTTCTTCTTCTTTTCATTCTTTCCTCTTCTTCTTTTCATTCTTCCTCTTCTTCTTTTCATTCTTCTTTTCATTCTTCTTCTTCTTCTTTTCATTCTTTCTTCTTCTTTTCATTCTTCTTTTCATTCTTCTTCTTCTTCTTCTTTTCATTCTTCTTCTTCTTCTTTTCTTCTTCATTTTCATTTTCTTCTTCTTCTCACTTCTCTTTTCATTCTTCTTTTCTTCTTCTTTTCATTCTTCTTTTCATTCTTCTTCTTTTCATTCTTCTTCCACTTTTTTCATTCTTCTTTTCTTCTTATTCTTCATTCTTCTTTTCATTCTTCTTTTCATTCTTCTTCTTCTTCTTTTCATTCTTCTTCTTCTTTTCATTCTTCTTTTCATTCTTCTTCTTTTCATTCTTCTTCCTTCTTCATTCTTCTTTTCATTCTTATTCTTTTCTTTTCATTCTTCTTTTCATTCTTCTTCTCATTCTTCTTCTCATTCTTCTTTTCATTCTTCTTCTTCTTCTTTTCATCTCTTCTTTTCATTCTTCTTCTTCTTTTTTTTTTCTTCTTCTTTTCATTCTTCTTCTTTTCATTCTTCTTCTTTCTTCTTTTCATTCTTCTTTTCATTCTTCTTCTTCTTCTTTTTTTTCATTCTTCTTTTCATTCTTCTTCTTCTTCTTTTCATTTCTTCTTCTTCTTCTTTTCATTCTTCTTTTCATTCTTCTTTTCATTCTTCTTTTCATTCTTCTTTTCATTCTTCTTCTTCTTTTCATTCTTCTTTATTTTTCATTCTTCTTTTCATCTTCTTCTTCTTTTCATTCTTCTTTTCATTCTTCTTCTTCTTCTTTTCATTCTTCTTCTTCTTCTTTTCATTCTTCTTTTCATTCTTTCTTTTCATTCTTCTCATTCTTCTTTTCATTCTTCTTTTCATTCTTCTTTTTCATTCTTCTTTTCATTCTTCTTCTTCTTCTTTTCATTCTTCTTTTCATTCTTCTTCTTCTTCTTTTCATTCTTCTTCTTCTTCTTTTCATTCTTCTTTTCATTCTTCTTCTTCTTCTTTTCATTCTTCTTTTCATTCTTCTTCTTCTTCTTTTCATTCTTCTCTTCTTCTTTTCATTCTTCTTTTCATTCTTCTCATTCTTCTTTTCATTCTTCTTTCATTCTTCTTCTTCTTTTCATTCTTCTTCTTCTTTTCATTCTTCTCTTTTCCATTCTTCTTCTTCTTCTTTTCATTCTTCTTCTTATTCTTTTCATTCTTCTTTTCATTCTTCTTCTTCTTCTTTTCATTCTTCTTCTTCTTCTTTTCATTCTTCTTTTCATTCTTCTTCTTCTTCTTTTCATTCTTCTTCTTCTTCTTCTTTTCATTCTTCTTTTCATTCTTCTCATTCTTCTTTCATTCTTCTTTTCATTCTTCTTTTCATTCTTCTTCTTCTTTTCATTCATTCTTCTTCTTTTCATTCTTCTTTTCATTCTTCTCATTCTTCTTTTCATTCTTCTTCTTCTTCTTTTCATTCTTCTTCTTATTCTTTTCATTCTTCTTTTCATTCTTCTTCTTCTTCTTTTCATTCTTCTTCTTCTTCTTTTCATTCTTCTTTTCATTCTTCTTCTTCTTCTTTTCATTCATCTTCTTCTTTTTTTCATTCTTCTTTTCATTCTTCTTCTTCTTCTTTTCATTCTTCTTCTTCTTTTCATTCTTCTTCTTCTTTCTTCTTCTTTTCATTCTTCTTTTCATTCTTCTTCTTCTTCTTTTCATTCTTCTTCTTCTTCTTCTTTTAACATTCTTCTTCTTCTTCTTCTTCTTTTCATTCTTCTCATTCTTCTTTTCATTCTTCTCATTCTTCTTTTCTCATTCTTCTTTTCATTTCTTCTTTTCATTCTTCTTTTCATTCTTCTTCTTCATTCTTCTTTTCATTCTTCTTCTCATTCTTCTTTTCATTCTTCTTCTTCTTCTTTTCATTCTTCTTCTTCTTCTTTTCATTCTTCTTTTCATTCTTCTTTTCATTCTTCTTCTTCTTCTTTTCATTCTTCTTCTTCTTCTTTTCATTCTTCTTTTCATTCTTCTTCTTCTTCTTCTTCTTCTTCTTCTTCTTCTTCTTCTTCTTCGTCGTGCCCCGTGACTGCCCAAATGAGTGAAGTGTGCGGTGATTCTAAGGATCGACGGCACTCATCTGCATGTCATACTGACTGGACAGTATTATTTCTCTTCCCCAGCAGACTCAAATGGAGCATTTCAATTAAAGGTACAGTGTTCTGCACTAATATAAAGGCTCTTCTGAAGCCTAGAAAACCCTTTAAATAAGTTAAATTCGCGGCAGAATAAATTTCGCATCGAAATCGAATTTCTCCCGCAAATTCGGCGAATCGGCCGAATCGAATTTTTGAATAATTCGCTCATCTCTAGTCCTGACGTCACAGGGACCGGAACACAGGAGGCGGATGCTGGCATCAGCCGGAGGAGATGGGATACCGGGGACGCTGCAGGGGACACACCGCGGGAGCCAAGTACAAGGTAAGTGCTGCAGGGACTCCCTATGCAGCGCCACATGGTAAGCCGAGTGTAGCTCGGGGGTTACTGCTTTTGGTACTGACATTTTACTCCGAGCTACACTCGGGAATACCGTTAGGGAGGTTAAAGTTATACATCAGTGTTTTTGTATGTCTAAATTATTTGTATAAAATATTTATTTTACAAAAAAAGTGATACAGCGTGCATCCATGGCTTTCTGTGAAGAAGCCCCCAAACATGCTTGTTGGCAGCCTGTGTATAACTGCCAAATAAAAGTCCTTACTCTAAGTTACTCGGTGTTCTCTGTCTTCTGTTTTGTCTTGCTGTCAACATTCATTGAACAGCACAGCTGTATAAACAGCTTTGAAAAAGCAGATACTGTAGCTTGCAGCCAGATATGCTGACTACACATCTAACATTTAATATTTATTGATATATTTTTATATGATTGAAAAAGACTGTGTTTTAGTACTAAACATAGAACATTTCTAAACAAAAATATGCTAAGAAAATCAGGCATTTCCTAAAGGTTTTTCTAAAATTGAAATTTGCTTGATCTTCAAGGTAATTTTAAATCCAAATAGTGGTTAGCAGTCTATTGTGTAGCCTCCCTGGTGGTATTCCCGAGTGTAGCTCAGGGTAAAGTTTCAGTACCACAAGCGGTAACCCGAGCTACACTCGGGAATACCTTGCAGCGTTGCTTCGGGATCTGTTCCTCCTCTCTTACCTTGTCCTGCGCTCCCGCGATGTCCCTCCTGCAGTGTCCCCAGCAATGTCCTCCGGCGGATGCCGGCATCTGTCTTCTGGGTTCCGTTCCCTGCGACGTCGGAACGTACGGGGGACGGAACGGCAGGAAATTTGAAAATGACAAAAAGTGACATTCACTAAATTCACTAAAATCACATAGTAAAACATTACTGTATCAAACCATTTCACGTACATTTTGTCCCGAGTGCTTTGTCCTGTGCCCTGCCTGCATTTTTACTGTTCTTTCTGCCTGGAAACTGAGAAACGTCCATGGCTTCCAAAAAGCGTCCCTTTAGGTCAAAATCGGTTTTAGACCAGCTAGAGAACAGCGATAGTAAATCAGAACCACTTGCAGAATTGATTGATAATGATTCGTGGGGAAATTCGTCATCAGACACTGAAAACGATTTTGCGACTTTGCTCAGTGATGTGTGAACTTGGCGCTCTATTTCAAATTTCAGTGTTTTTGGTTTGATTATAATATTGAATTAAATTTATTATTATATTATTATTTTTTTTATGATTATTTATTAAATTAATTTATGATTTCGTGTTTCAAATTGTAACATACCCGGGATGTTTACTAGACTCTTGTTCGGACAGATTTCAGTGAGTTATTCCTAAAAATTACAGGACTACAATAAAAAAATACATATTTCCATGCAAAAAAATGTACCACTTTGAGCACAGAAATATGGACATAATCAGACCGCTAGGGAGGTTAAAAGCCCAACACCAGTCAAAACTTTTTTTATTTTGTTTTGGATACATTTTTATAGGGTTTGAGCCTTTACAAGTTTTTATTGCTTTGTGCCTCTCTCTTTGAAGGCAGTATTCCAGGGGATTGTACTCCCCTTACTGGCTAACAATGCCCGACAGACATCTTTCTAGCTCAGTCTCTGTACCGTATTTTGGGAAAGGAGATCAAAAGTTTATCTTTAACTAGTATCATGCTTGTCCACATATTCAGTATATCAGTGTGACTTTTCATAAGACATACTGGGCTCCATTCACTAAAGCAGATCTGACACATTTTTCCCAAATATCACATGCAATGCTAAAAAAAAACTAAATTCACTATCCCTATATGTGGTATTTACCTAAAACATGCTCGGTAAATACCATATGAAACAGGATTAAAGTCAATTCACTATAGGAAATAAATAAATAAATAAATGCATAAGTTAAATATGTAGTGGTCCAGCCATGCGATAGGAAAGGAATGTGTTTTCATTTTATGACCTCTTCCTCGCAACCTTTGGCCCAGTGTTTGTGGGGGTGCAGGGGGGTGACTTAATGGAATCTGAAAGACCCTCTTAACAAGGGGGCTTTACAGATCCTGGCTACCCCCACATGGGAATGACTAGGGGTACATAGTACCCCTACTCATTCACCAATTAGAATATACAAAGTTCCAAAAATAAAATACAAAGACAGTTTTTGACAAGTCCTCTATTAAAAATGGCAAAAAAAGTAAATCGGGGCCACTCACTCAATGACATCACCGGCTGACCCCACGCTCATGATGTCATCAATGGGACATGACGGGTCCATGACGCCATGAGGGGGTGGGGTAAACCCCTGGAAGACACATTTTTAGCAGAATTAGGAAGGGTTAGAAGGCTCGATAATGAGTCTATTGTCATCTCTGCCTTTCTGACCTGTTGACTACCTTACCCCACCCAACAATATCATATATGGGTGGGCCATGCAGAGGCAGGCAGTGAGTGAACATCTTACCATAGGGGTCACAGACTAAAATAAAAGTATTAGAAATGTCTCTATCAGCAACTAAACCAAAATATTTGACTGGAGTTAGGCCTAAAGGTAATATGTGCTTCTTTATGTAACATGTAGCGAGGCAGAAATATAGATTTATCTCTGCATTCACAGACATTCTGTTCACTCTGAAATATGAGTTCATAGTTTTCTCTGTACTTTGGGCTTAAAATCCGCTTTCTGCCTTGAGTATAAAGTGTCCATGGTCTTTGAGGATGTCTTTTTTACCACATTGCCATGCATTTAAATCACATTACTGTAAATGTTCTCTCAAGATCAAAACACACTTCTCTGCCTGCCAAATTGCCGTAGCTGTTATTTTCTATCTTTGCCTTCACTGCCAACTTTCCAGACAGTGCAGATCAAAACAAGTGTGTGAAGGGAGAAAGTCTGGAGATAGGTGTGCAATGGCGGAACATCTCCATCATGTTCTTCTTCAGCCAGTGTCAGGATTATAATTAGATAGGAGGTTGTGCCCCTGAGTCATTGGTAAAACAGACCCTGATGTCTATTCTAGGGGTCAGTAACCTTCTCCACATCAAAGCGATATTAAACCCCAAAACAAAAATGTATTAAACTGCAGCTTAACAATTCTTCAATGTGGTGGCTGCATTCATTTTCTTTTTTTAGGCTTTTTTTTTTCATTTTTTCACTAACAGTAAGTCAATTATTTTTCAACTTCCTTTAACAGACCAAACTGTCCAGACAAAGTGGCAGATAGAGGGTTGAGACAGACCTGTACCAGGTGCAGTCTGCTTTCTGCTCTGTAGGTGGTTCTCAGTCTGAGAGGTTCCACAGTTGGAGAGGAAAAACATACAGGGGTTTGACAAAATTATGGAAACACCAGGTAAAAGAAAAAAATGATTATCTAATATGGTGTTTGGCATTCAAGATGGCTGGAATTTTCCTGGGAAATTACCAATTTAAGTTTTGGATGGTGGATAATGAAATCAGATACTGCTATTTATGCAAAATTCATTTTCAAAGAGATGCGGAAAGGAAGCCCGAACCTAGTTCTCTAAAATTGACCATAGTGGCTCTATGATATTGAGGTCCGGCAACTGCGGCACCCAGGGAAGGTGCAAGACTTTGTCTGCATGCTTGTCAAACCACAATTTGACAACATCAGCTGTGTGAATCAGAGCATTATTGTCATGGGACACAATGGCTACTGCATGGGGCGCATATGGTCTTCCACAATTTGTACATAGTCACTGGCAGTGACTCTACCTTTCAAGGTGATGATTGAGCCTGCAGAATACCAAGATATGGCAGCCCAAACCATGATTGCAAAGCCACCATGCTCTACTTTTGGCACAAAGCAGTCCGGATCATAGGCTTGAGATTGTGTTCACCAAATGTAAACACATCCGGTGGCTGGGGACAGTGTGAAGCACGATTCATCGGACCATATTACAGTCTTCCATTGATTGATAGTCCACAATTTATGGGTGTGGCACCTCTCTTCTCTTCTGAGCATAAAATCGGTCACTAGAGGTTTGGCAATTGCACCTCGCCTGTGAATGTTTTGCTTATGGAGTTTCCTCCACACAGTTTTTGTGGAAACGGGCTTTGGAAGACAAAGCCACTCTTGTAAGTGGCTAGTGTAGGGAGAGAGACCTCATTTTGCTAGGGAAAGCAGCTAGCGGTACAGAAAGATTCCAGACGAGTAGGGTCAGGCTAGGGACACGCTGCTCCTAGAGGGAGCCTCCCCCTATTTGGGAGCAGATTGGTCAGGAAGCACTGATCCCTCCGCAACTTTTATAACTGGCAGGGGTGCTTACAATCATCAACTATCATCCTTTCATGTAAAACCTTTATACCAAAAGAAAAAAAATTTTGCTGTAACTGATTAGTGTTAAAGTGCTAAAGCGTTAGCTGGATTTCAGCTTTAATTTGTTAGTCAAGTCCATCTAAATCTGCTAGTGCATCTAACTCTACCCTCCCTGCAGACTGACAATGCTGCTGTCCAAAGGTGTCTGCTTTACTACTTTGCCCAGAATGTAGACACCCTAAGAGGAAGTGTGTTACTGGTTGGATAACCTCATTAAATAAAGGGAAACAAAGCCTAGAAAAAGAAAACGAACACAGCCACCTCATTTAACCCTTTGGCGCCGACTGCCTCCTGGCCCTTTAAGGGTTCTAAAAACCAGGAGGGAGGCATTCAGGTCATGTGACGGCTGTGATTGGCTGTCACACTGGTCACATGATCGGAAGACTCACGATCACAAGTGCACCGGGAGCTTACCAATCTCAACGGGTACTGTGCTGGGAGCGTGCAGTGAGCATGCTCTCAGAACAGTAAGTTGTTTTAACAGTGCTGTATATATGTGGCCGCTTGGCTTTAATGCCCACTTGCTATGCAGCTGCATATATACATATGGCCAGCGCCAACAGGTTAAGGGAAAAGTGGAGAAGTAGGGCCAAAGCTCTTTTTATCCTACTTCTCCTGTGGGTCACAGTAGTACACTTTGTTCTGCACCCCTGTGACCCATATTCAGCCAAAAGCAGGCTAAAGCCCGCTGTCGGCACATCACTTAGCTAGTTGAGACTCTGTAGGGATCGTGACTTTGATGTCCGGATCCACCGAGATACCTCACTGGCAGCTGGCTTAGCCTGTGAGCATGTTGCTGAGAGCTTGAGCCAGCCATTCCTGCATCCTCCACAGCCCAATGTTCAAGTGAGCGCTGAAGACCGAGAACTGAGAGATCAGTTGTCTTTGATCATTCAGTTCTCAGTCTTAGAGGCAGTGACAGATATTTCCATTAGGGGGGAACTTTGAAAGGGAACTAGGTCTACTCCTTTCATAAATCAACCCAACTGACTTGGAATAACATGCAGGCAGGATCCAGAGTGAAGTCTGGATGCCCCAGACACCACTAGAATTTACAGGACCTATAGCAAAATTTTGTGACTCCCCTCATTAGTGGCAGGTGACCTGTGATACACACTGCTTTACACTTCCAAACACTGTTAGTGTGCAGCATATAATTTCCAACATCATGGAGAGGTTAGACAGCACTGGGTATGAGGAGTTTTGGATAGCTTAGATAGGAGGATAGAGAAGGTGGGTTGGAGTTATCCTTCAATACTGTTGGCCACTGTAATTGACAGCTAGGCACTCTGAATGGGTAACTTCATAGACACAGGGATACTCGCAGCCACTGCTTTGCAGAGCCTGTGCTTTGTTCCATAGAAGAGATTTGTGGTCATCCAAAACTAAGCTAGCTCTGGCAGGGTGGATCAATAAAGAATCAATATTACATAAGTAGCCTTCATTTCTCAACCACAGAATCAGAAAGTGATTTTAAACTGCAAACTGATTAATATAGCAAGTGAGCAATTTTTTTAGCATTTAATGCACAAAGCCTTTTTGCCCCAGGCCCAATTGTAGCAGAATTGGCTGTTATGGCTGG